TGCAATGTGTGTGTTTTTTTTTTTGAGGGGCAGTATGTCAGAACCTGCAGCAATCGAATGAATAGCAAAAAGAGGACTGATTTATTAGGGATAGTAAATGCTAGGTCTGCTTGCTTTGATTCTGCCATCTGTAACAAGGTGGGGGGGGGGAATGAAAGAAGACAGAACCGGTGTCATCTCGAAGGCCCGGAAGAAGAGGTGTTATCAGGGTGAGGAATTCACAAGGCTGCAACTCAGTGGGAAAGAAATCTGGCGCCAAAGAAGAAAGGGGAGCAGAAGGGGTAAAAGTAGAGGGAAAATTATGCGGGCTTTAGTTTTAGCAATGCTTTGCTTGGAGCTGCATGTACTGTACCATCCAATAAAGGGGATTTTATCTGAACCAGGCCTGGTTTCATGAGACTTCTTCTGGATTGGGACTTGGACATTGTAGGCCTGACATCTGTTTTCTTCCCAGTGTGAATGATTTTGCCCTTTATAACTTCTAGTTCTTTCTTATTGCCTTGACAGTGCTTTACCACTTGATATGCCCCCTGCCACACCCATAGCAAACAAAAGCTATCTGAATGGGGCTTCAGACATTCCACTTATCTCCAGAACTTTGGACCAGTGCCTGGAGGAAACCACCTACCGGTATCCTGAACGAGAAGCCTTGGTATTCTTGACCGAAGGGATCCGAAGGACTTTTTCTCAGTTTAAGCAAGATGTAGGTCACTTGTTAACAGATTCTGCACTGCCAGTGTTGACAATTTGTCATTCAGTAATAAATAATACATTATTTAATCAAACCATTAAAATCAGGTTAGAAGGGGTAAATAAAGGTAAGTAATAGGTTTAACTTACTGTGTTTTAAAGTGGAATGGAAAAATAAATAATAGAATAAAGTGATTAGAAGAACTGTCCACAGTGCTAGAGAAATGCATTTTAAAATGGTACAGAGGTTCTAGCCTTTTGGGAACTGCAGTCTGAAATGCTGTTCTTATATGTTCTCCGATAGTTTCTGCCTGCCCAGTGAGATCGAGCAGAGTGGGCACGCTGCAGGTCCCTTCAATCAAAGAAAGTCATCTATCAGGACCTAGACAGCACACCTTCTCTGCTGCGGCACCTGCCCTCTGGAATAGCATCCTCCCAGAGATCTCTGTGGCTCCTACCCTACAGCTGTTCTAGAAGATGTTAAAAACATGGCTCTACTCCCAGGCCTGGGGTTAGGATGGATGCTGAGCCTTTGTTAGTTTTTCCTGGTTTGCAGTATGTTTGGTTGTTTCACTCTTCTGGACATGCATGTTTTTTTATTGCTTCATTTTATTTTTCCTTGTACAGGTAGTCCCTGCTTAATGACCACAATAGGGACTGGAAAATTTGTTGTTAGGCGAAGTGGTTGTTAAGCGAGTCGCACCCATTTTATGACTTTTTTTCCAGCGGTCATTAAGCGAATCACCATGGCCATTAAGTGAATCACACGGTTGTTAAAGAAAATCACGTGGTTTCCCATTGATTTTGCTTGCCGGAAGCCGGCTGGGAAAGTTGCAAATGGCGATATGTGACCTCAGGATGCTGCAACTGTCGTAAGTGCAAGCTGGTTGCCAAATGCCCAGATCACAATCACGTGACTTCAGGGGTGCTGCAACAGTTGTAAGTGCGAGGACCCGTTATAAGTCCCTTTGTTCAGCACCACTGTAACTTCAAATGATTATTAAATGAAAGGTTGTTAAGTGAGGACTACCTGTATGTATTGTAAGCCACTCAGAATCTTTGGGGAATCGAACAGTATCTAAATTGAAAAATAAATAAATCCATAAATTTCAGGTTTGGTTGCTCAAGGACACTAAGGTTTAGAACTGAAAACAGAATGTGGAAGTAAACTTTGATGAGATCCCAGTTAGAATACGGTTCTTACTGTACATATTAAATGCCCAAGTTAATATTTCAGTCCTACTCTTAATCCTATCAGAGATCTAAATACTGTGGTAAAAACCCTGATAAGGCAAAAAAAGGACATTATGATCTCAGATCACACCCACCATCCTTGTGTTGCATGTTTTCTATCTGGACATGGACCCCACAACATTTTCTGGCATTCAGAAATGTAAGAATGCTGGAGATTTCCATTCATTGACTTTTTCAAATTTGGAGTATGAATGCAGGATGAACAGCCGGTTTCTTTTCTTTAAACACTTACAGTAGATACTTCACTGTCTTCAATTCATAGCATGGAGCATTCATTTCATATATTCTGTTATTCCCTACCTGTGTAGTTCAGTTTGCTGAGACCTTGGTTCTTTTGAAAATTGTAGGTGGAACAGGCTGCCACCGGACTTCTGGCCCTTGGCTTGAAAAAGGGTGACCGACTAGGAATGTGGGGTCCTAACAATTACGAATGGGTCCTGATGCAATTTGCTACAGCCCAGGCAGGGATCATTCTGGTAAGTTGATCTCTTTTGTAAACAGGTGGGCTGGGTGGGAATGTTAAGGAGGACTCCCCATAAGGATGTCCTGCTAGAGAAGAGACTGTGTGGATTTAAATCATATCCATCATACATCAGGAGTAGCAGTGTTTCCATAAGATTTGGAAATCATTGCATTTGCTATATAGCTGAAAATGATCTAGCTTCCTGGTGCAGAATTCTGTCAGCTAAGGAGGTCTCTTTTGACCAATGAATGCTAGTTCAAAAAAAGGGGCAATTTAACCAGCTTGCCCCAGCACACACATAGGCCACACTGATCATTTCTCAAGGGCAGGAATGTGCCATGTCTTCTATTCACCTCCAACCCAGCAGGAAGGTAGTCCCCACCCATCTTTTTCTTTTATGCAATAAAAGTAGTGTTTCCTGACTTTTGCCAGCTGTCAGTGACAATGCTGTCCTGGTTGCTTGGTGCACTTCATTTCATTATAGGCAAATCCCTCCACTCCTGCTGGTTGCTGTGCTCTTTGGCAAGGAGTGGTCATTGCTTGCTGTTCTCCATGGCCGGCCATTCGTTCATTCGTTCATTTGTTCGTTCGTTCGTTCATTCGTTCATTT